AAATACCATTATTACCAGCTCCAAAAGATTGTTCACATTCTTAGGTCATACTGGAATTTTGTTGTATCCAGTGCTTTTCCAATATGTTGGCCATCTCTTGGGGCTCTGAAAAATGTATGTTTTAATGGTATATATTGTGGCAAGACTTGATGTGGACACTTCTTTTCATTAGAAGCCTCAGATTACTTTGTAAATAAGAGCAAGTTGTGCCCAATGACACTCCCTGGAGAGCAGGCATGATGTTATCCCCACATGGAGAGATGGGTCCTCAGAGAAATTATGTCAGTCAGCACAGCCCTAAGAATTCAGTTTCTTTATCCTTGATCTAATACTTAATGTAGGCTCCCTTTCTAGGGTCCAGGATGCCTGCCAACAGCAACAAAATTCTGTGCCATCCCCTGCCAGCCTATCTCTGATGTCCAAATTCTACCATTGATTCCTTTGGGTTACGACATTATCTAGAATGTATTAAGAATGTATCCAGAAACTGAACAATGTAAAGCTCTTTCAGCTATTAACATGTGAGCACAAATAAAGTAATTGAATTCCCTTCAAAGAGTTGCTCATATAGCCAAAAATACTATAGGTAGGTTTCAGTAGGGGGAGGACTAGCTAGAGAGGTCCAGAGGTAAGGAAATGGGAGCAGAGAGGGAAGATCCCTAAAGGGTCTGCGGGAAGTGGAGAAGGTGATTCTAAATGAGAAGAGACAAACACTGAAAGGGTAGGTGGATAACCCTAGAAGAATAGGAAAAGCCTCACCAAGAGGACATTTTTACCTTGAGGGCATTCCTGCTGAGGCCTGTGGACTAAATGAATACCTGAATCACCCAAGAAGGGATCCAGGTCAAAGATTTGTAATCCAGTCCCCTTTGATTTGTAATTTAAAAGAAAAAAAATAAGTTCCTAAGCCAATTAAACCAATGAAACCTCTTACTAAGCTTTCATCAACAACACAGTGAAAGTCTTTTATTTCACAGATGGAAATGATTAAAGAGGCTGTCAAATTCCCTTCATACATTTCTTATTTCTGCACCTGTAAATCCTGGTCTGGCCATTCCCTCCAGAGCACTTAAGTTGAGCAAATGTAACTCAAACCTTGAGGATATGCAGTGTGCCCTTGTTATTTATTTTTCGTGGCTCCTATAAATGGCAGTCAGATTTTCCTTTCAAATAGGTTCAGTCCATGTTTAGGGAAAAGACATATGGGGAATGTCAAATCTGAGGTGCAGGGCAGGGAGAGGGAAGGATGAGAGAGAAGAGAAAGTCGAAAGTCACCCATCATTTACAAGATGATCATCGATTCCTGTTATGACTGAATGCAAACTTGGACAGTAAGAGACATGTTGGCCAGCTTCATGAACCAGGTAGAAGGGAAAATAAAACAAAAAACCAACTTTTTTAACTCAATGGCACATTCTGGAGACTGGAATGGGGGAGGGGGAGAAGATGGGCTTAGGCTTTTTTAAAGTAACAAAACAGATTTTTAAACTAACCTGGACTACCAATCCCTACCCAGTCAGCAAGCCCCTTGTCTTTTACAGGATTATTCCAGGTAAGGGAAGAGGTCTGCTGTAGGTGGGCAGAATCTTCCTCCTAGTAAGAAATCTGGATCCTCAAAATCTACCAAGGAAGCCCTAATGTAGCCGTCCAGTGTACCCTCACAAATTAGGAACTAATAGGCACTGTGTAAAAGCATTTGGGAATAGGGTGAGAAAGAATGAGTTCCTGGAGAAAGTATGAATTAAAAAGAACAGATTAAATCTTCAGTCATTCAACAAACACTTCATCACCTACTATGCGCATGGCTTTGTACTACTGCTTTCTGGACATTTCCATATGGGTACTCCCAAAGCACCTCCAAGTCCACACCAAAAATTATCTTTCTCTCTAAATCCACTTCTCCTTCAAATTTCCCTTCTTCAGTTGAAGACACCATCACCATCATTCCCAGACATCCTGGATCATCCTTACATCTTCCTCTCTTTCATTCCACATACACTTGATTTGTTGATTTTACTTCCATAACATCTCTTGCATCCCTCCCTTCTGATCAATTACCGCACAAATTCAGGTCCCTAATACCTCTCATCTGAACTACTGAAATAGTCGACTAGTTGGTCTTCCTGTTTCCAGCCTCTTCCTCCTCTAATCTATCCCTCATTAAGTTGGCAGAATAATATTCCTAAAGCATAGCTCTGACCACATCACTCCTGTGCTTGAGAATCTTCAATGGCCCCCTATTACTTCTAAGATAAAATATAAAATCCTCAGTGCAGCATTTAAAACTCTTCTAGAACGGTTCTGGACTTGTTTCACATTAATCTCATACATACACTTTGTATTTCAGCCAAAGTGGCTTACCTGCTATTCGTAGAAGTTAGCACTCTACTCTCCCATCCCCATGCCTTTAGACATATTGCTTCTCCTTCCTCACTACCTTCCTCACCTCTGCCTCAGAGAATCATTCTCTCCTTCAAGTCTCAAGTTATGTGCTCCTTTCCATGGAAGGGTCTTCATGCTCACCCCAGCTGTCAGTCCTCCCTCCCTGCTCATATTATCTTCTATTTACTTCTGTCCCCATGCTGTTTCCCTTGGTAGAATGTAAACCTGTTAAGGTTTGGGACTATTTTTCATTTTCTCTTTTTGTCCCCATTGCCACGCACATAGTAGGTACTTCAGAAATGCTTGTTAAGTTGAACTGAACAGAAAAGATCTAGTTTTGCCCTCTAGGAGAGTTCAGTCTAGTAGTGGACACATACAGAGGCCGCATGATCTCTGGTCAGGTATGTTAGAGTGGAGGTTCTTTTCATGTGTATGTGGGGCCAGATGGCCAAGAGGTCACTTTCAACTCTCAGATTCTGTGATTCTTTGATAACACAGATAACTCTAACCAGTGACATGCTCAGAAAGAGGTGGCTTTACTTTAGCCATATATCATAAACCTGGACCACTTCCATCCTTATCAAAAGGAAGGGCTAACTTTCTTCCTCCTTCAGTCTCTCCCCTTGAGTTCTTGATCACTAACCAAAAGTGCCCCAGGCCCAGTGGCTACTCAATAGTCCCTGGATAACTAGGATATTGCAATATATTATATTAGATATTAGGGGTCTCCAAAAGCCACAGGTGTTATATAAAAGTGCCACATGCTGCTCTTCTGATTCGACCTTCAAAATGTGCCTGCCATGGTCCAAGTACCACCCTGGGATCCAGAGGACTCAGAGACAAAAACCAAAAGTGTCCCTGCCTGCAGGGAAGCTCACATTCTTCTGAGAGAACGGTGAACCACATGTACTCCGCAAAGCAAATTACAAGATAGATGCAAAGTAAATACAAAGTCATCAGCTCAAGAGCCTTGTGCTGGTATCATAGGATTAAACATTCCACCCAATTTTTTACTATTTAAAAAATAAAAAATAAATTCCTCCACTTTCAAGCCCAAAGGCCCTCAGACCATGTGACCCTGGGCAAGTCAACCTCTAGGAGTTTCAGTTTCCTTCAGTTTCAGGTGTACATTACTAAAGCAGAGGTTTCACACAGTGCATCAAGGGCCACCAATGAGACTGTCACCTTACTGCCAAAGAATTGGAAATTGAGGGGATGCCCATCAATTGGGGAATGGCTGAAGAAGTTGTGGTATATGAATGTAATGGAATACTATTGTGCTATAAGAAATGATGAACAGGCAGACTTCAGAAAAACCTGGAAAGCTAAGTGGCGCAGTGGATAGAGCACCGGCGTTGGAGTCAAGAGGACCTGAGTTCAAATCCAGAGTCACCAAAAAAAAAAAGACTTACATGAACTGATGCTAAGTGAAGTAAGCAGAACCAAAAGAACATTGTACTCAGTAACAGCAAAATTGTGTGATGATCAACTATGACTGACTTAGCTCTTCTCAGCAAGCAAGGATCTAAGACAATTCCAAAAGACTCATGATGGAAAATGCTATCCACAACCAGAGAAAGAACTGTGGAATCTGAATGCAGATCCAAACATACTATTTTCTCTTTCTTGTGGTTTTTCTCTTTTCATCTGATTCTTCTTTCACAACATGACTGATATGGAAATATGTTTAATATGATTGTACATGTATAGCCCATATCAGATTGCTTGCTGTCTGGGATGGGGGAAAGGAGGGAGAAAAAAATTTGGAACTCAAAATCTTATAAAAGTGAATGTTGAAAACTATCTTTATATGTAATTTGACAAAATAAAATACTATTAAGTGGGGGGGGGAGAGATTGTCATCTTACCCTGCCAACATAAAGTCACTTTATTAAATGCCTGTGAAAGTTATCCCCGAACTGAAACTGATTCCCATTTACTTCACTTTCCTGTCTCAGACATCTCTTGCAATTGTGTTTTTTCCCCCCTTTTAACATGCCTATCCGCCATACAGGGAAAAATAAAGATACTATAACAAAAACAAGAATAAGAACTCACACTTACATAGCACTGTTGAAAATCTGCTTGTCTCACTTTGTCACACAGCGACATTATCTCATTTGATCCTCTCCACAACCCTGTGAGGTAGGTATGGTTATCATCCTCATTTTGCAGATGAGGACACTGGAGGCTGACTCACCCACGCTAATACAGTGAGCAAATATGTGAGGCAGAATTCAAACCCAGGTCTCCCTGACTCCAAATCTAGTGCTCCATCTACTACCCCACACTACTAATAGCTCACACCTTCATGTTGCTTTTAAGTTTACCAAGTACTCACCTCACAACTTTGTGAGGTAGATGTTATAAATATTATTCCCACTGTACACATGAAAAAACTGAGGCTCTGTGATGAGTCTTCTGATTGAAGTCACAGGGCTCTTTTCAGTCTACCATGCTCTCAGTCTCATGGATCTGATCAGCTCCCAGTCTCTGACATTCTCCCTAAAGGAAAACTTCTTCTAGACTAGGTATTCATTCACCAAGTCCCGATATCCATTTGTTTGGAAAATATACCTCAAATGCTGAAGCCCCAGGGCACCCAAGGACACACTTACTGCTCCATGGGTTGGCGATTGGCTGGCTCCCTTTTCCTCTTCACCATCTGGCTCTTCGTTCTCCTTATTATCAGTATAAGAGGAAACATCCGGGCCTGAATAAGTACTAAGCAGGTCTGGCAAACTTGTAGATGGATATTTGAGGAAGTCCACTTCAGAGCTTTCCTATTGGGAATACAATCAAAAGCCCAGTGAGTGTCACATGGTGGTCCAGTTCAGAGACAGAGGAAAGCTTAGACAGCGTGCAGGCAGCCCCTCAAGGACTTGCCCAAAATCCCCCCTAGAACTGGGAAAAAAAAAGCCAGAAATGTCTACGTTGGCAGCTACTCTATTTTTCATCTGATATTTGTTGATATCTTCTGTTTTGACATAATTTTCACTTCCCAATAGATTCCTCCCCATCTCCTTTGCCCAGCAAGTCACTAGTTCAACCTTCCTTGATTTTCTTTTTTTTCCTCTCCTTCCCCCCCCCATTGTTATTTCACCTGCATACATTAATTGGCAATAGAATAGATTTTTATGTGAATCAATGCATCAAATTAGAGTCTAAAAAAGGCTGACCACTAAACACAGTAAGATTTTTTTTAAAGACAAAGATTTTTTGAAAAAGAAGAGGGGAAAAGCCATTCAGAATAACCAGCCAACATATCAGCTACATCTAATAGTACATGCAATACCCCCAAACCTCTATTCCAACCTCTGCAAAGGAGGGAGAAAGGTACATTTTCTTAACTCATCCCCAGGACCTCACTGGGTCATTATAGTTACTCAGCATTCCATTTTGCTTTGCAAAGCCATCTTAAAGGACTGTTCTATGTCAAATGCAGTAAATATCTCAAATCTTTTCTGGAATGCCTATCTGAATCACAGACCTATCTAAAATTCCCCCGGCATTCTACAGCAAGGGTGAATTCCTTCTTGGGCATTCTAGAAAGTAATGCCAGATTCTTAGGAGCACGTAGGAAACTCTGCCTGAAATATTTCTTGTAATATTATTTGATCTCTGTTCAAGCACTAACAACATAAAGGGAGTTGCCAAGGGAGCTGGGTAGCATACAGAATCGCAGTTTCATAAATTTAGAGGTAGAAGAGACCCTAGGCATAGTGTGGTCTAATTTCCCACATTTTAAAAACTGAGTGACACAGATTATAGGTAGCAGGGTCAGGATTTGAACCCAGGTCTTCTGATTCCAAATCCTGGACTTACCCCACTGTTCCATGCTGCCTCGATTTCACTTCTTTTTTCAGGAAGTCTAATCTGTGAGGATTTGATTAACAGCACACATGCCACCTAAGCATTTTAACCTTCTATTGCTCACTTAGTTGGCGCAGTAGATAGAAAGTGCTGGCAGCTAGGTGGTACATGGATAGAGTGCCAGGCCTGGAGTCGGGAAGATTCATCTTCCCGAGTTCAGTTCTGGCCTCAGACATATAGTAGCTGGGTGACCCTGGGCAAGTCACTTAACTACATTTGCCTCATTTTCCTCATCCACAAAATGAGCTGGAGAAGGAAATGGCAAATCACACCAGTATCTCTGCCAAGAAAACCCCAAATGGAGTCACAGGGAGTTGGACATGACTAAAAACAACTCAGCAACAACATGCAGAGTGCTGGGCCTTGAGTCAAGAAGACTTGAGTTCAAATTAGGCCTCAAATGTCTATTAGCTGTGTAACCTTGGGCAAATCACTGAACCCTAAAATAGGGTTGCCCCTAAAATAGGGATCATAATAGTGCCTATCTCACAGGCTTGTTGCGAGTTTCAAATGACATAATATTTGCAAAATACTTAGCACATAAACAGCATATAGTAGGTGCTTAATAAATGCTTATTCGCTTCTCAGCTTCCCCATCTGTAAAACCAAGGTGTTGAAACAGATGAACTTTAATGTCCTCTCCAGCTCTAAATTCTATTATCCTAAATTCTGCTTAACCCATAGCTTTTTCCTATCAGCCTTGGCAAGCCCAAGCAACAAAATCTACCCAGTCAAGTAGGGTGACTCTGAAATAGGCCATGGGTCAGTGATATAAAGGAAGTTCGACCCAGAAACCCAGGGCTGTGGCAAGCCAAGAATATCCAAGTGTGCTCCGTCAAAATTGTCCAGGAGTGATTTAGAGAATTCATGTTTACAATATGACTGTGACTATGCTCCTGTTTCTGAGACTAATTAAAATATAGGCAACTTGATGAAAACCAGATGCCACTCATTGGTGTTTCCTGCCTCTTCTTGAATTCTGGGGAGATTTCCTAAGATGATGAGTAGGAGCATGTGGGTTAAGTAGTTTTGGGGGCTTCTTCCCTGCCTAAATTGTCTGTAGATATAAAGAAATTGAAAACCACTGGTCCCTGTACACCTAACCCCACCCTCCTCCACCCCAACACACACCTAATTTCTTAGATGACTAGGCCTTCCTTTCAGTAAAAAGAAATCACAATCACAAAACATTGCCCCATTTGCCAATGTCCAGTTGACGGCTCTGGCCAGCCCAACCTTCCCTTGATTTTCTTTTTTTCCCTCCCTCCCTCCCTCCCTCCCTCCCTTCCTTCCTTCCTTCTCTCCCTCTCCTTCTCTCTTTCCCTCTCCCTTTCTCTCTTTCATTGTTATTTCACCTGAATAATACACTCATTGACAATAGAATAGATTTTTATTTGGATCAGTGCATCAAATTAGAGACTCGAAAATGCTGACTATTAAAGACAGTAAGTGGGAGGGGTCAAGGGAAGGAGAATGGAGGAAAACTCAGGATGGAAATAAATGCCATTCATATCAGTCTGAAAGAGGTGCAAATCCCTTGGCTGAGGTTTTGTCAATATGCCCCGTGGTTTTCTGTGTCCTGTGGGAGCCTGCAGGTAAGACAGATAAAGGAGGTGAAACTCTGGAGAGAAAAATAGGACATGTCAGATTTCTTCCCGGGAACACGGCTAGGCTGTTCAAAGTTGACATGGGCCCAGTGCAGGAAACGTGATAGCACACTCGTCGGGCCAAGGGCAGGGTGCACAGCTCTGCAGAGTTGAACAGACTCCAGCAAAAAGATAAACATATCCCCCTCCCATCCGAGACATTTTTCAGAAGAAAGGAAACACAGTGAAGGCCTTGCTGCTGGCACTGGAGGCAAGGAGACCAAAAGGACGTTCTGACAGAGGGAGCAGGCATGCAGCTGCAAGTGAGCGTGGCAGTAACCCCGGTTTCCATAGGTGTGTCCAGCTCCAGGGCCACAAAAATGATCCGTTCTGGACTCCTCTCTGTCAGGGCCCCGCACTGAGGCCTCGACTGAAGAACTGAATGAAGTTGATTAAACAAAAATGCAAACTGTGTAACCTTTCTGAGATGTGAACTCTGTTGGACCACCAGTGAAAGGGCATTCAGAAGGCCAGGACCAGCCCTGGAGAAGCTGACTCGTCTTCCAGTGATACTGATAGAGTCTTTGCAGCCCTGCTTTCATTCATTTGGTGGAGAGTGACTGCTAAGGGCAAAGTGTGAAGCAGCCTGGCACAGCCAATAGAGAGCCAACCTTAGAATCAGAATGACCTGGATACTATTAGCTGTGTGAGTTATCCTCTCAGTGCCTCAGGCATCTCTCCAAGACAATAAGTTACACACCAGGGACCTACTGATCTGCATCTGTAGAGAGAGTTCTCACACCAAGAGCTCCTTACGCTGATGAAATCATAGACCAGGGGTGGGGAACCTGCAGCCTCAAGCCTACATGGGGGCACAAGATCAAGACCTTTCCTCATGAACCACTTCCCAACACCTCCCCCTTCCCAAGTGAGCTAAAATGTGGCAATTCTCCATAATAATAACAACAACAATAGTTAGCATTATCCAGTGTTTACTATATGGTAGGCACTGTGCTAAGTGCTTTAGATATTTTATCTCATTTGGTCTTCACAACAATCTTGCAAAGTTGATGCTATTATTATTCCCATTCTACTGTTGAAAAAACTGAGGCAGACAGAGGTTAAGTGACTTGCCCAGGGTCACACAGCTAGTACATATCTGAGGCTGGATTTGAACCTAGGTCTTCCTGACTCCAGGACCAGTATTCCATCCCTCACAACAGCCAGTTGCCTAAGAAAGGGGTGACTACATATCAAGTGGGGTGAAGATACTTAACATACTAATTATTTTTAGAGAGAGACACTAGGTCTGTGATTTCATTGGTATTAGGAACTCTTAGATACAGAAACTCCTAACAGGGGAAGTTGGGGCCTTCTCTGCCACTTCTAGTCTGAGAGTAATGAGATTAAGATACTCAAACAGACAGTACATGCGAGAGCTGGAATCTGAACCCACATTTTCCTGGTTTAAATAGGGTACCTGATTACCTACTAGGCCAAAGTGCTTATCTTATTACTTTATAGTAAAATATACTATGTATTTATATAAAATATAGAAAATTCTTTATTATACAATATTATATAAACATATAATATGAAATTAAACATAATAAGGAACATATTATATAATAACAAATAGAATCCCTAGTTGCCTTCAATACTTATATACATACATATATATATATATACACACACACACACACACACACACACACACACATACATATACATATTCATATACACACACACACACAGAGCAAGAGAGAGCTAAGTATTAAAGGCAACTAGGGATTCTGTGAGGCAGAGACGAGAATATGTATTTTGATGCTGAAGGCCTATGCAAAGTCATGGAGTTGAGAGATGGGGGCTTGTATTCAAGAAATGGCTAGAAAACTGGTTTGGTCAGAGTGTAGGGGTCATGAAGGGGACTAATAAGTAATAAGACTGGAAATGCAGGTTGGCCCTATGCTAAAAAGTGTTTTAAATGACAAACTGAGTACTTAATATTTGACTTTAGGATGTAATAGGGAGCCACTGAAGTTTTTTGAGTAGTGGAGTGACATGACAAAGAACTTCAGTTTTGCATAAAGGGAGATATCTGAGCTGGGCCTTGAAGGAAGACAGTGATTCAGAAAGACCAAGAGAAGGAATCATGCTATTTGCTTCATAATGTCCAGTGCCTTATATATAGCAGAGACAAAAGAACTATCAGTCAAACACACAAATAAATAATAGAATAAATGAATGAATAAATAAATGCATGATTACTTATTTAAATGTGTTGATGGTAGTATGAGATGATATTTTCCTTGTCATAACAATTAATTTCCAAATCCTGTGTGGCCCTTAATTGTGGATTTTTACCTGTGTACATGACTGATTCTGTTTTCTCTGGGAGGATAATTTTTTTCAAATAGGCAAAAAGGTCCTCATCCCTGATTTAGAAATTGTCAGGAAAAGAATGGAATAGGGCCACAGTATGCATGGCACCTATATTTCTCTGGAAGGGATAGTCCCAGACCTCATGCCTCTAGTAAGCTAAAGTAGGAGGGAGAGAAGCCATAGATAATTCTAAGGACTAAAACATCCAACACACACACACACACACACACACACACACACACACACACACACAGAGCAAACAGCTGTGGCCACTCTGAAGCTCTTCTAGGACCTGGGCCACCTTTTGGTATTAATTCAAAGAAGTTCTAAACTGTGGTACCAAATCATTAAGTTGTCAATAATATGGCCCGTTTCATTGTCTCAACTGCAGCAAAAAGAGGATGCATTGAGAAACAAGTTACACCTGTTCCCTCTTGATTTCACATCTACTGGATCTACACGATTAGTTAGGCAATGGTGTTTGTAGAGAGCGTGTAGAGGCCAGTGATGTTCCCAGGAGGGAAGTGGGATCTCAACCCATTAGCTCCACGTGTCACATGGAATGCCAACCCACAATGTGACCTTGAAATCTCCTCTCTGAGAAAGTTAGGTCAAAAAGCATTTATTAAGTGCCTGCAATGTACCAGGCACTGAAGATACAAAGATAAGCAAAAACAGTCCCTGCTTTCAAGGTGTTCACAGTCTAAGAGGGGGAGAAAACATGGAAACAACTATGTACAAAGAAATTGCAGATAGGATAAACTGGAGGTAATTTTCAGGGGGAAGGCCCAAGCATTAAGATAGGAAAGGGAAAGGCTTCTCACAGAAGGTGTGATTTTAACTGGGACCTGAAGGAAGCCAGGGAAGCCAGGACACAGCAATGAGGAAGGAAGGCCTTCCAGGCATGGGGGACAGTCAGAAAAAATGCAGTCAGTAGATAGAACATCTTGCTCCAGAAATAGCAAAGAGCCAAGTGCCTTTGCATCATGAACTATGTGGATGGGAGTGAGTTATGAGAAGACTGGAAAAGGGAGGAAAAGGCCAGTTTATGAAGAATTTCAAACATCAGAGAACTTTATATTTGATTCCAGGGCTATTGCTGAAGAAGATCATGAAGAAGAAAAGGAGAAAGCTTTTTGGTTGGGAACAAACCCAAGGCTAAGAGTGGGGCAGAAACCTGGGCCCTAGTCCTAGTTGCTCCACAAACTAGCTCCTTACTGTTGAGACCTCAGTTTCCAATTCTGTCAAATGACTGTGTTGCACAAAGGCCCAATTCAGAAACCACTTCTTTCAGGATGTTTTTCTTGATGACCCTGGTTAAAAATGGTCTTTCTTATAATACTTTGCCTGGACCTCTCCCCTGCATTTATAACACAGTTAGTTATGTATACATTTTCCTTTCTCCAATCTCCATTTGATTATAAGTGCCTCAAAAATAGGGGTTGGGCCAGATCTATGATATTTCAGTGACTATAAAAGCAATATATATATTTTCTTATTGAAACTGTATCATCCATAAAGTCTCTTTTGGCTAGAAAATGCTATGCTTCTAAAAACAACATCCCACCCCAAGCATATCTGGGTCAGGACCTTCACTTCATCTGATTCTTGTTCAGATGCACTTAGGAGTGAACATCTTAATCTGTTCCCCCATACCTACCTAAAGTCTTTTACATTCCTCCTTTTCTCTGAAGAATTTCTGTCCTGCCATTGCATTATTCTTTTTCTCCCTCCAAAATATTTGTTCCCATTTCTTATTTTGCCAAACTCGTCTTCCCCAGCCCTAACTTTCCAACCATTTATTTACATGTGTGTGTACACACACACACACACACACACACACACACACACACACACACACCCATAAGTTAAAATAAAACCAATGCTCACACACATAACACTTGGCCAAACACCTTTGTGTGCTTATTGGTTAGACCTATGTCTTTAGAAAAAAAAGTCTCTTGGAGGCAAAATTCCTTCTATTAGAGGTGTTTGGTGTGAAAATAAAATAATTTTTTTAATGAAATTTAATTTTTAAAAAATGCAGGATGCAAATTCAAAAAGATAAAGAGTTGTCTTGGAACGAAGAAGATGTAATTTCAAGTCCTGATGGCGACACATACTGGCTGTGTGAGCTTGGACACTTCATTTAACCTCTAAATGTCCCAGGCAACTCTGTAAGAGTATAAGTTTCAGAGACAATACCAACCTTTATTGATAGATGGACTTTCTTCATAACAATGCAATCACAAATACAGTCCACATCCCCATCCTTGCCACTGTGAAAATGATAACGGAAAATACCTACCCTGCTGGCCACAACTAGCTGAACTAGTCCAGCTGCAGCACGGAGAATGGCCACAGCTTCCTGATGGGAGAGGCCAACCAGTGACTGACCATTGATCATTAGCAGCTCATCTCCTGAGGTCAGCCTGCCATCCCTAAGGAAGCAAAGAGGAAAAAACAACCTTTGTCAAGATGCTTCAGGAGAAGAATTGTGATTTTCCTGGAATGGGGGTGGGAGTGGGGGAGGTGGTTTGTATGGGCCAGGGTGCATTCAAAAGAGGAAGAAATAATGACCAAAAAACAATTTTAAGTAGAATTACTTGACTGCATGGTTTGAAGTGACTAGCATTAAGCCCACAGGTAAGTAACAGTCCCAAAGATGACATAAGTTTTAGTGTGTTAGTGAGAAATCCATCACAGGAGCCCCCTTTCTCTGGCATTTCCATGTCAATTACTAGCAACAAAGAAACCTTCTCAACTGACTTGAATATGGTAGATATATGCACCCTTGGTAGATGGAGAAGCAAAGAACCCACGAGCTTGAGATGATTGACATATGACCCCAAGATATATGGCCCCATGAAGTGCTGTTCTCTATCCTGAGGGTAATAGCAGACATTGCCCCCTATCTCTGTGTGAGTCAGATCCACTGATTGTATGAATAGCTTCCTGGAGTAGACAGGTGAGGGTGAAACTCCCAACTGCAGACCTAGGTTACTCTGCTCTCCCAGGGCTAGGGTCTATATGCCCATCAGCCTCATCCTCATCCTCACTTCCCTGATGCCATTGAACCCCCAACTTATATGATGTTCTCTCATGGCCTTCTGTTTCACGTGTGGTCTCATGCTCTTCTCTCTTTCTCATAGGATGGGTCGCTAGATCCATTCTGGGAAGTCCCAGTCAGGGGCCTGAGGAGCCTCAGATATGACCTCAGCAAATGCATACAGAGTTGGGGTGGGGGAGGGCCTGAGTTTCCACATGCTGTGGGAGGGAGGAGAAAGAATTCCAACCCATAGCTGGTTCACTAGAACCAAGGAGGGGAGACAAGCACAGATTTCTCACCCACCCCCTCAGCTCAGGTTGCTGAATGAAGTCATGGGAACTGGAATAGTAAGGGGCCAATAGTTTGGATGAGGGAGGGTCCCGGCCCGGTCCTATCTGCACCAAACACTAACTTTTCCACATACCTGCCAGAGGCTACAGGAGGAGCTGAGAGAGTTTGCAAAATGTGTCAACTTTCTATATCAGTTTTTAGGATAAATGTAGGAGTCTGTAAGGCCAGTAAGGGGAAAAGACATCCCCCCTTGAACTACAGCACAATATCTCCCAACATCCTAGAAATACGTCCTACATTTCCCCTTCACAGCTCTTCCTAGCAATGTGGTGACCAGGGGAAGGATGTAATTTTCTGGTGTCATTCAGCGTTGGCTTTGACAGATTCACCTAGTATTATGATGGAGGAGGAAGTAACTACCATCCTTCTCTCGCCCAGCCAGAGGACAAGAGTTTCCAGGCTGTCTCACATCATCTTTGTGACTACAGCCAATGAAGGACCCATCAGTGCTACCAGTTTGACAAATATCACCCTATCTGTAGCTGGGCTTCCAGTGTCTCCTTCTGAGGGTCACTGGTGAGCGAAGCTTCCAAGTCTGGCCTTATTCCTTTCCTTAAGCTCCAGTGATCTTGGGGAGCCGTATTGTCTGCTCGGGCACTTGCTACGGAGAGCTCACGAGGCAGAGGGGCTGCTAGAGAAGCATCTCTCCATTCCCAGGGAAGGAAGGAGGTGGGCAAGGGAATGCAGAGAATGTGAAATCATCATGGGGTGAACAGTGAGGAAAATAGAAGCAAGTCAGAGTAAGAGGCAGGACTTCAGATGAGGCAAATCACAAGACCACAGGTTTAGAATAGCTGGGCCCCCACAGGCCGCCTGGTCCAGCTCCCCCATTTACAAATGAGGAGCTTGAAGCCGAGAGGCGTGAAGGGATGTGCCTGATGAGAAAACCATTCTCTGTCTACTGATCCAGCCCCATCCATCACCCAGCTTCCTTTCTCATTCCCAGGGAGGCTCTACCTCTCACCGGCTGATGAATCCCTATCTACCTCAAGACCAAAAGTCCTGAGGAGGAAGAGTATATGTCCTGTAGATTTTTTTTTCTTTTCTTTTCTTTTTAGGCAATTGGGGTTAAGTGACTTGCCCAGGGTCACACAGCTAGTAAGTGTCAAGTATTTGGTCTGAGGCTGGATTTGAACTCAGGTCCTCCTGACTTCAGGGCTGGTGCTCTATCCACTGTACCACCTATAGATTTTTTTTTTCATAGTGGACCAACCCTCTTCATGGGAGATGGACCAGGATGTTCCCATCAGTGAAAGCCTCTGTCCTTTTCTCCTGCAGACTCATTATTTGTGATTACACTGTGGTTAGTCTTATCCTGATGGTCTTGGATGACCTATATCTAATAGACCTGTGTCACTGACTAATGTTACAAATGGAGAGAGCCCTATCATAAAGCCAGGAGAGTCCTCATCTGAACTACCAGACCCAACAGAACAAAGTAGATCAGACGACGTCTAAAAGCACCCATCCCAAAGTGTAAGGGCCCCAAATATGATTGAAAATAAAGGGCTGGATCTCTGCGGTTTGTGGTCTCTGTGTTGTGGACAGCAGGAGGAGCTTACCATACTGCCTGGAGTCCAGAAAGGTATCTCAGTAAGACAGAGTGGATCTGCAGTGATGTCAAACTCCAATGGAAATGGGCTATATGTTGACTTAGAAAACCACAAATTAACATTATTGATGTTTTCCTGCAATTTCATTTATTTTCTTAAACATTTCTCACTTACATTTTAATCTGGGTCCTTGTACTTGGGAGTTTTGTGGACCACTGGGAATTTAACACCTCTGTGCTAGTGGATGTCATCTGTTTCCATGGCTTTAACTCTGCCTACTATGGGAACCCAAGTCCTATCTCTAGCTTTGCCTGTCTCTGAGCTCCAAGCAATCAGTTAACAAGTATGACTTCCTTCAGCAAGCTAAGCTGAGAGGGTAGGAAAGCTGTCTCTGTCTCTCCTTCTTGGTTCTGATGAACCAGCTAGGAGTTGAAATATTTTTTCCTTTGTTCTCACAACCCAAGACCCCCAACCCAACGTCCACCCGCAGGCCCTCACCTTCTGTGTGTTCTAAAACTAACATCATCCTGGCCCCCACCCCCTGAGCAACAGTGATTTCACCAAACTTAGGCAAAGGTTAAGAACTGGAGTCTGGCCAACCCTGTGTTCACAAGTAGGAGCCAGCTTATTTTTCCTTTGAGGGAGGGAACTGGGCATCAGATCTCAGAAAGAGGAAATGGAGGTCTGGAAGGACTGAGTCAAGTTCAAAATCAGGAAAGTCAGAAAGCTAGCTCTTACTGGCAGTAAAACTGGCAAGGACTTGTACTTAGGTTCAGGAATTCCAGGGTACAAGTGCAGAATGAGAGGGGACAGGGGTAGGAGACATGGCCAGGAAGCAATTTAAGTAAAAAGGACCTGGGAGGGTTTTAACGAACTGTGGACTCAGTATGGGTCAATGATGAAACCCAGCAATCCAGAAAAGCCAATATATCTTAGGCTACATTATTAGAAGTCTAGTGTCCCAAGGAATGGAGCTAGATTCTGCCCTGGTCAGACTATGTCTGGGAGTACTATGCCCAATTCTGGGTACCATATTTTAAATGAGACACTGATATTTAGAGCATGTCCAGGGAAGGTGATCAGGAAAGAGAAGTCACATAATTAAAGGAAGTATTCTAAAAAGGCAGCCTGAGGCAAAGGCTAGAAGTGGGCCAGGCTAGTTGAAGGGTAACAGGGAAGGACCAGCAGTCTCTAGATGAAGAAATCAAGAGTCATCCCAAGGAAACCCCCAAATCCAAGCAGAGATCTATTAAAAGAGAAAGAAATCAAATGGAGTAGGATCAGAATCAAAGCTGGAGATTTTGAAGAACAAGAGAATTCAAATCAACATCCAGGTGAACTCAACTCTTTCCCCATGGTGGCTTGACTTATGCCACTGTGCCTCACAGTGCCCACACCATCACTTTCCCTGGCAGATAGGGGCAAGGAGTGGCTGAGAGCAACTCTGACTGAAGGATGTCAGGGGGAAATACTAGGAGACTGGAAGCATGAGGGACAGCACTGATGAGAACTGGGCCCACAAAAGGGCAGAACCCAAAAACTCACAGAGGGTTTAGCCGCAAGAGCTCAGAGTACTCATTGTATGCATCACAGACTTCATCATAGCCTGGTTTTGATCCTGGAAACTGCTCTCCCCTAAGGTGGTTCATTCCCCTCCCACCAGCTCTAATTGGTAGTGTTTTCTTACAATGAGAAGTGTGCTTCTCTGGAACTTTGACTAGTTGCTCCTAGTTTTCCCCTCTGAGAGTCGAATGTCTCTTCCTCGTGCTAGCCTTTAGAATACATAAAAGCACTGATGCCTCTGATGGCCACTCGACCCCCTGTCCTTTAAAGTCAGAAGCTCAAACCTCATGGTAGCTATTGTTAATGTTCTCCTAGAGACCCTGGATGGAAGCCCTGGACTCCTCCCTCTTACCTACCTGCCTCTCTCTAGGCTCCCTGCTCATCCATTCTATAACCAAGTTCTGTGGATGTCCTCTTCCCACAAAATACCTGCATCTGTCACCCCCTCTCAAGGAACAGGGTGACTCTGTGATTTGTTGTTGATGTTTGAGTTGTTTCAGTCTTGCCTGACTCTCCATGACCCCATCTGGGGTTTTCTTGGTTTGCCATTTCCTTTGTCAGCAAATTTTACAGATGAGGAAATTAAGGCAAACAGGGTTAAGTAACTTGCCTAGGGTCACACAGCTACTAAGTGTCTGAGGCTGGATTTGAACTCAGGAAGATGAGTCAAGAATACCTGGGTTCTAATCCTTAATCTGTCACTCAATACTTATATGACCTTGAGCAAGTTGCTTATACTTTCTAGACCTCAGTTTCCACCTCTGTAAAATGAAGAGGTTGTATTAGATGACCTCTAAGATGTTTTCAGCTCTGAACCTATGATTTCACGCGAGAACCAATTAATAGACACAAATACATATACACGTGTGAGAAATGCTAATTGTTTGGTTCCCACAGAATTGATAAGAAAACAGGACAGGGGGAGATTAGGTTATTGATTAATTGATTTCTTGGTTTACACAAATATGTAAATAGGGCAGGGGGAGATTAGATTATTGATTAATTGGTTTATTGGTTTACACAAATATGTAAACAAGATGAGGGAGAGACTGGTTTTCACAGACTCTATAGAAACAATATATATTGCAATTGCAAACAGATGTTAAATGGGACGTGCAGGAATGTTGGAGCAAATTGGGGGTTAAAGCCAAGTGATCCTGTATAACCACTTGCCCTGCTCCTGTATAGATGTGTGATTCCAATGAAGGATCACACCCAATTCTCATGAGAATTGTTAATAAAGGTATCTCTCCTCTCACTCCACAGCTGTGATTTCTTTATGACCCAGCTAACTCTTGTTCTGGGAACTCTGGGACCCGAGTCTCGGGCTGAATTCTGAATTGAGTCTGGGGTTTTTATAACACATGCAAATGTTATGTCCTCCTCAGAATTCCCTAGGTTTGGCATGTTGGAAGGTAAATCCAAGAGGTAAATTCCTTCCCCCACAGCTTCTGGGACAATGGGGGTGGATGGAAGCAGAAAGAAGATTAAACAAAATAGATACAAAAGAGAGAGAACTTAATTTGCAGGGAAGGCATTAGCAGCTGGAAATCAGGAAAAGCTTCACATAGAAGGTGACCATTGAGCCCAGCCTTGAAGGAAACTAGAGATTTCTAAAAGAGGCAGGTTAGGAGACACTCCCCCATATCTTCTCTACCCTTACCTCTCTCCAATTCACTTCATTCCTTCCCTTTCACACTCTTATCATTGCTAGATTTACATCTATTAATTCTTTGTCTCCTCAACTAAAGTTCTACTTCTGTGCCTCATCGTGTTATGGAGGTAAGCTTAGGCACATGGCGGGGGGTGGGGGCTATGCCAGAGGAGTACCCCATCTCTAGCACATCCTACAAAGCTGGAAGCTTCCAGGATAGGTGTGGCTATGGTATGCTTTATTTATCTGAGAAGCAGTTTGGCTAAGACTGGAGACGCTCATCACTAGAAAAGTTATCCACCAGTTGATAACTTCCTTATTCACAGAAACCATGAAGACTATTAAAAAAAAACATGAAAAATTCCACTTTTTAAATCTGTTAAATGGAGGGAGTCCTCACACTGATAAGATCATCTTTGTGGTATCTCAAACCAAAAGGCAACTATAAATTCTCTGAAGGTAGGCACTGGGTATGTTCCTGAGTATGGGATGCAAGGGTGCTGCTAAGTTCCCATGAATCCTCAGTCCCTTGCTGATGGACAGATAGATTATAGTGGAAAGATCATTGCATTTTGATCACAGTTCCATCACTCACTAGCTTTTTTCTGGACCTCAGCTTCCTCATTGTGGGAAGGTGGGAGTAGATGATCTTCAAGAATTTTAGGAAGGATATTGACAGAGTATATACAGGATGGTAACCAGGGTGACAAAATGCTTCAAAATCATGCCATATAAGGATGTTTAGCCTAGAGAAGAGTGGACTTGGTGGGTGGGAATGAGGGGAGGAAAACATGGCAGCTCTTGTCAAGTATCTGAAGGACTATCACATGGGAAGTGACTTGGTTGCTTAGCTCTGGAAAGCAGAATGAGTATCATGAAGAATACAGAATAACTCTCTACAGAGAGGTAGATTCAGGTTTGATGTCAGGAAAAACTTCCTAATGATGAGGGCCACTGTAAAATGAAATGGGCTACTTTGGGAGGCATTGAGTTCTCCATTAGAGGTCTTTAAGCTGGAGGGACTTTGGACTGGAGGGACCATGTGTTGGATATGTTAGAGAGGATTCTTGTTCATACTTTCCAGCTCCAAAATTCTAGGGATTAAGGCTTGTAAAACAAAACTATGTAAAAAATGTTTTTTCTTTCCTCCCTTCCCCCCGCCAATAAATATAACAAATTATCTTATTAGTCTGTAGGCAAATTTATCTGCTACAGTGAATCTTGCTTCTGCCCTCAGCCAAGAAATAAAAAAGGCTATTTCTTAGGTATACTCAGGGTGTCCCAAAAGTCTTAATATAGTTTTGTGCTATTAAAGTTTTAATAATGTAAAACTATCCATTAAAGCTTTAACAGAATAAAACTACACCAAGACTTTTGAGACACTCTGTTTCAACATATTCCACAAACAAGCAGAAGGGAAAATCAGGAATGAGTTTAGCAGGAAAGGGAATATTGATCCTTCTGTGACCTCTGGATCTTAGACACTAGGTATTCTCATAATGCAAAAGAGATGATATTTCCAAAAACAGGAGATCTGAGTTTAAGGTGTGTCTGACTTATAAAAGTAATGAGACCTAGCTCATGAGATGTATTTCAAAATCAATTTCATTACTGATTTGGGGGGAAACCTGGTGCAGTGTAATGCAGAGATGTCACACTGAAGGGCTCCCACAGAACTCCCGAGTGCAACTAGATTAAAATATAATTGGGAAATGTTTAGCAAAATAAATAAAAATATAGCACAACATAAATTATATTAATTTGTGGTTTTGCAAGTCAGTGTGTGAGACACAGGGATTCATTTCTATTCAAATTTGACATCACCGTTTAGTGTATACAGTGCTAAACATGGGAGCCAGGAATACCTCAGTTCTAATTCTGTTTCTGTCCCTACTGGTGCGGACACAGGTACAAGTCACTTAACCTTTCCAGGACTCCATTTTCTCCTCTGTAAAATGAGGGAGCTGGAATAGGTGGCCCTAGGGTCCTATACAGCTATTGATCTATGCTTCTATAATGAAATTGCCAATTACTAGAAAGTCCCAGTTGACAGAATAACAGATGATTAAAAACCTAAAAGTGTTATATAGATACAAACCAAGTATTTTCCTCACAACAACCCTTAGAAGTAGACAGTGCAAGTATCACTTCTGTTTTACAGAGAGAAAACTGAGACTTATAAAGATCAAGTGACTGGCCCAGGGCCACACAGCTAACGTCAGAGCAGGATTTAAACAAAGGTGTTCTGACTGCAAGTCTAGCACAATATCCCATGACCTCTGATAAATTTAGCGTTTTTTAGAAACTGGTTTAGAAGGTGAGGAGGAGGTGGGCTGGGGGGATGGGAGACCTGCAGACCCAATTCTATCACCTGTGTGCAGCCCCTCCTTCTTCTACATGTGCAACGATGATTCCGTGGGGCGATCGCTTTGATCCCCGGCCTCCGGTTATCTGGATGCCCAGGCCGTCTGATCCTTTCACCATGTGCATCTTCCAGATCCGGCAGCCTTCTCGCTAGAAGAAAAAGCAAAAAGCGTAGTGATGGAATGATACATCGTTAAACAGGAGACATTTCATGGAGTTGTCGCAGCTGGGACAAAATCAGCAGCACTTAGAAATGGGCAGAGGAACTGAATGTTCTCTCTGTGTGTCAGAACTAAAGTCTGCAGCGAGAAAGAACAATTAGCAAATTCATGACTCCAAGTGCTGTTTATACTTGCCTTGTAAAAGCTTACATCCTACCAAATTTACATGCCCTCTATCCTATCTATGTTGCTACCCCTTCTCCCCTCAGTTACATCATCTCTAATCCCTTGGCTGGCTCACAGGACACAAACAGGAGTCTGTGGTGAAAAATCTCACTCTGAAGACGGAAAAGTCTTTTAAAAACAAACCAGAAGGGGACTAACAGAATTTATTTGATTTCTCTGGGACTTTATTGCCCATTTCTCTTTGGACCCATTACCTCAATTCAATGCAACGAGCATTTATTAAACACCTACCAAGTCTCAGGCCCTGGTCTAGACATCGGGAATACAAAGACAAAACCAAAACAGATGCCTGGGCATGTCTGGTTATGCCCTCTTCAAATCAAACGATAACTATCTGCTTTCTTTATCCATCATGAAAGTCCAAATCACCTTTCCCAGTGCAGTAATGGTGAAACCTTCCTAAATGAGTGCTGTTAGGAATAGGCAATATGCCCAACTGAATTGCTTGCAAAACAGAAAGAATTTGAAACATTTGGAAAATCTGAAATACATTGTCAGAAAGTGAAATGAAGCTTTATGCAACAGTAAAACACACACACATACACACACACACACAGACTTGGACTGACTGCTGATGTGCAGCAATAGGAATGTCTAGAAAAATTACTGCCAGACATTAGAGACCAGTTGGACTCACATGTACTCCCTATTATTGCACTTTTCTGGAGGGTCTGATTTTTCCACAAACACATAGCACTGCTGAAAACCCCTTCTTTCACCAGATGACCAACCAGACAGTCTGGCCAAATGCAGCTCTGGAAGCCGGAGTTACTCAGGAGTTCATGAACCTATTCCTCCTTCCCCTCTTAGCCCAAGCTTCCCGATTCAGACTCCATCGCTCCTCTTGTCCGTTCCCGACTCCTGGAGCCTTCCCTTCCACTGAGCTGTCCTTCAGAGATCTGGGACTGCAGTGCTTCTGTGTAGGCCCCCTAATAGGCAGGGAGATGCATTTCCCTCCCACCAGCAGCCCCTCACTGATTCTGGATTCCTGGGACCAGCTTACTATTCCTCAACACATACCATAACCAGAAATACCTAATCACATACACTTTTATTAGCTGATATGAATGTGACTGTGTATTCTCCAGCTGCACAGTTTGGTCACATGTCAAAGATGGGTGAGCATCTGGAGCTAACCTGTGGGGTTGTCCTACCTGTACCACGCCAGGTTCTGGCTCAGCTCCAGTGGTCTGGGAAAATGGGACACTGATCTTCTGGAAGTGGTGTGGTATAGTGGACAGAGCACTTACTGGGCTTGGAGTCAGGAAGTCCTGGGTTTGAATCCTGCCCCAAATGCTTACTGACTATGTGACTTTATGGAAGTCATTTCACCTGTATGAGCCTCATTAAATGGACTTAATAATAGAACCCATCTCACATGGTTATTGTGAGGATCAAATCAAATTTTACATATATGTGTGTGTGTATGCATATATAAACATATACATATATACACACATATATATGTGTGTGTATATGTTTGTAAATTCACAAATCTTAAAGCACCATTTAATGTGAGTTATTATTATGCCTTCTAGCTCAGAGAAAAAAAAAAGTATGCAAGATATTGCTAATGGGTCATGAGTTTATGGTTTGATCCTAGGAGTAGGTAAACTTATTCAGTTTTTGCTGAGGCTAAAAAAGGAGGGGAGAATAGTGGGTATTTTCTTCTGGAAACATAAAGTTCAGATTGGAAAGGGGACACACAGGAAGCGAACAAACTCTTGATCTCAGTTTTATTTGATCATTTGTAAACACTGGTAGAACCAAGAGTCCGGGTTTTTGTTAGAGGACAGAGTACATGGGACATGTGATTCTCTCAGCTTGGGAACACCCGCTGGGGCACTTCCTCTCCCAGGGCCAGTCAGAGATCATTTGTCTAGGGTCCTGTGGCCAGTAGGTGTCCAAAGCAGGTCTTCTTGATTCAAGGACCTGTAATTTGGAACCATGGTGGATCTTACGTTGGCTTTCAGAAATAATGGGAAAAAACAGGCATCTCTACAATTTGAATGTCTCTAGGCTGCAATGTGTTTAAGTAGCATGAGCTGCAAAACCTATTTCCCAGTTGGTTTATTCAGATGACGATGTTTTGGATATGTCCCAAAACATAATCCTTTGGAGGTCACAGAATCAGAGAGGTAGAAGGAACCCTGAGCATCAACATGACCTACATTCCCTGCTTCTAGGAGACATCTAAAGCTTCTCAGATAATTAGATGAAAAAGAAGGACTTTTTTTGGATAAAATACAGTTCATTGATTTACTCTACGTATCTGTCTGATGTGGTGTTGTTATTGTTTGTCCTTCATTCTCAAAGAGGACCATGACATTGGGGAGGTGATGTCATGACTTTCAAGTGAGTTGGATTTAAGTGAGGGAGGGCTGTGCAACATCACCAGCCTCCCTTTCTCTTCTGGTGCCATCTGGGTTTAGTGGCAAGATATAGATCAGGATGACTGGAGATGGCCCTGGTCTGATGTATACACTGGCAGGGTGGCCACATGCTCCGTTGCACTTTTGTTGGCAGCAGTGTCATTTCTTAACCTCATTTAATGAGAAGGGGACAACTAAGGGGCAGTGAATAGAGTGCTGGGCCTGAGGCTGGGAAGATGCATCTTCCCGAGTTCAAATCTGGCTTCAGATACTTACTAGCTGTGTGACCCTGGACAAGTCATTGCACCCTGTCTCCCTCAGTTTCCTCATCTGTAAAATGAGCTGGAGAAGGAAATGGCAAACCACTGCATTATCTTTGCCAAGAAAACCCCAATATAGGAACCCAAAGAGTCAGACATAACTGAAATGATTGAATAGCAACATTCCCCAAACCAAAGCTCCTATTTGAGTTTCTGTGCAAGAATCTGCCCAGTTGACGGCCTCAGTGCTTTCTCTAAATCTCTCAATTATCCACAAGCACAAGCACCATCTAGAGCAGAAGTTCTTAACCTTTCTTATTTCATAAGCCTCTTTGGCTGCCTAGTAAAGCCTATGAAAGGAAGCCTTCTCAGAATAATGTTTCAAAATGAATAAAACAAAATACACAAGACTGCAAAGGAAATGAATTATATCAACATACAGTTATCTAAATATTAAAAATCATCACAGACCCCAGGATAAGAACCTTTATGGTGAATAAACAGGAAACTAGAGGAGAAGCATCCTAGGTTGGTAGACCTGAGGGATAGGCCTAGCTGTCTGACACTGGGCGAGTCACTGAAAATCTTTCAGCCTCAGTTTCCTCATTAGCAAAATGGGGGAGATGATAGCACCTTGATGTAAGTGTCAAATGAGGTAATACATGTAAAGCACTTTGCAAACCTTAAAACCTATATCTAGATTAACGTGAGCTTCAGAGGTAATGCCATCTCTAGCATCTTGCAATCTATCACAAAGATAAAGAGACACACTGGAGAAGAAACGAAACCCTACCAATTTGAGTTTCTTCACTATATATTACCATTTTTTTCCCTAGGAAGACTTGTATGACCCGATGCAAAGTTCAGTGAGCAGAACTAGAAAACACTGTACACAGTAATAGCAATATTTTAACGATAATTAGCTGTGAAAGACTTGGCTATTCTGATCAATACAATGATCTACAACAATCCCAAAGGACTCATGATGAAAAATGCTATCCACCTCCAGAGAAAGAAGTAACAAACTCTGGATGCAGATTGAAGCATACTTTTTTTACTTGTTTATTTTCCTTTCCTTTTTTTTTTTTTTGCAACACGACTAATATGGAAATATGTTTTACATGATTTCACATGTATAATGAGTATCATATTGCCTGGTTTCTCAATGGGGGGTGGGGGATGGGGGTGCAGAATTGGAAAGAGGGAAAGAATTTAGAACTCAAAATTTTAAAACGAACATTAAAAAATAATTAATTTTTTTCCAATTATTCTTTCAACTCAAGATGGAGAATGAGACATACCTGGATATGAACAACACGGGAATTTGTTTTGTTTGCCTATCTAGTAGCTAAGTGATGAAGTGCATAGAGCACAAGACCTGGAGTCAGGAAGAACAAAGTTCAAATCTGGCCTCTGACATTTTACTAGCTGTGTGACTCTGGGCAATCACTTAACCTCTGTTTGCCTCAGTTTCCTGTAAAATGGGAATAATAACAGCATCTACCTCTCAGGGTTGTTGTAAGGATCAAATGAAATAATAATTATAAAGCTTTTAGCACAGTGCCTGGCACATAATAAGTGCTATATAAATATTAGCTAGTTATGTGTTGCATGGATTTTGTTTTTCTTTTTCTTTTCTCCCCCTCCCCCCAGTTTGGGGAGGTTGGAGGGAGAGAAAATAAATGCTTATTAATAATGGGGGGGGAGTAAAATAAAATAGAGGCTACATACAAAATAAAAGAAAAATAAAAGAAGCCCTTCTCCATTGGGTGCTGACATCAGGAAGAACTTCAGCACTGGCCAGGGAGCAAATAAAGAATGAAGTTTCTGTTTTCAGGAAAAAGGGCGTCTCTCACAAAACACTGCCCTGCCCCTAAGAGACAATAGCATATGTCAACTGAAGAATTCCTCAAAAGTTTTCCATGAGGAGTCAGCAACTTTCTAACACTCAAGAACAGCTCACTCACCAGGAGAAAGCCTACTTTTGCATTTAACAGCAGCAGCCCCAAGTGAAGGCCACAGAGGAGCTGCCAGTTAGTGAGAGTTGAAAAGACGTAAGCATGGGAAGGAAACACAACAGGATGGGCTGGAACCGAAATCCTTCCTCTTCA